ATTGAATTATTAAATTACTACTTGTAATATATTGTCGATGGAAATTTCTTTTACGCTTATATATTGATCACATGTTCTGACAATAGTATATATATATATATATATTAGTTGTGCATTAAGGATAGCATAATTGTCATGGTTCTGGGTCAGTTTCGACCCAGCATTTTGAGTTCCTTATTTTTTGGTTTATTTTTCATTTGGAGTGTTTTGGGGTTTCTCTGGTGTTTTGATTTTATGTAATTATCTCTTCTGAAGAAAAAGAGATATTTGTAACCAACGTGACATCATGAGATTTAAGAGAAACAAAACAATAAACAAAATGACTAGCCATAAAGATCATGGGGCCCTCTGTTTTATGAAATATTTTCACCATTTTCACCATTATTACTGTTTTACTTCATCATAAAAGTACCACGTATTTAGTTGCATCACTTTGACATTTCAGAAAATACAGATGTCTGGAAAAAATTATTATTTGTCGAAATTATCCAAGAAGACTACTAGTATCATACATTTGGATAATTTTTAAAATAAAATACCAGAGCATGTCATTTTGAATTCATTGTAAAACAGCATATTCAGTATATAAACAGCATTTCTTGTTAATAGTCATAGTTGTTTTACCTGACAATATTATTTATTTATTATTATTCATCTAAACACATTCAACCTAAAATCCGTTTTCTAGAATGTTTCACGGCACTGGGTCTGGTGACCCTGTGTTTGTGTTTTTGATTTAAATTGTTTTCTTTGAATAATTGTTTTCTGTTTGTGTTGTATTTAGTTTCGGGTTTGCTGTTCTGTTTCTGTGTCTCCCCTGTGATCCTGTTGTCGTCTCGCTAGTGAAGGTTTTGTTCTGTAGTCTTTTTATATCATTATTTCTCTCTGTGTTGTATGCTTGTCTTTGTTCTCGGTCACTACACCTCTGTGTTCCAGTTATTTTTGTCTCTGTACTTCATGTTTCCTCTGTTCCCAAGTCTTCCATGTTTCCACGTCTCAGTGTCTAGTCTGTGTCTTTATGAATGTCATGCTTTCTGTTTTATTTTGATAGTCACTGTCCCATGTGCAGTGTATCTAGTTTTGCTTTTCCCTTGTCTCACTATAGCTGTGTTCCAATCCAGCGACCGCACGCTCTGTAGTACGTAGTTGGGCTTCATTTCTGTACTGAGCAGTCATTATTAAGATTAGTTAGTAAATAACAATTAGCTTATGTTGTTCATGAGACTAAAGTCAT